GTACTATTTTGCGGTCCAGAATGCGGTCGCAAATCAAGTATGCGGACCGCATTTCTGCCGCATAATGAGTCAGTGGTTTGGTTAAAATTAAGGTCAAAATGTGGTCCATTATGCGACCGCATAACTGATATGCGGACCACATTTCTATCGCAAAATGAGTCCATGTGCCAGGCAAATTTGTGGTCAAAAATGCGGTGCATTATGCGACCGCAAATCGTGTATGCGGACCGTATTTCCGCCGCAAACCCAAACAGAAGAATTAGATTTTTGGAGCACTTTTGCGGTCTATTCTGCGGACCGCATTTCGTCTCTGCGATCGCAAAGTGCGACCGCATATCTGACTCGGGTACCTTTTTTTCTAAATTTTAAACCCGACCCCCTTTTTAATAAAACACCCCAACCCCTCCCATTTTTTACAACTTTTCTGAACAAAATAAGAGAGAGGAAGAGAGGGTTCTTGAGAGAGAGTTCATCTTCTTCAAAACTAACCGGGCCAGGAAATTTCAAAGTGAGTGTCTTCATCCCCATTCTTGCAGGTAAAATCCCTAACCTATTTTCATTAATTTTCAGGTTTAATTAAGGGGGAAAAAAGTCTCACGCATTGATTCTTGATAATAGAGGTTGAAACATTCATGCATGTCTTTTAAAACCTAAAATCTGGTAAGAGGGATTGGGTAGGAGTAAAGAATTGTACAAAGGAGGGTAGATAATCTAAATATGTTCGGGTAGTGATTTGAACTTTGATTCTAAGAAATATGTGTTAATTTGTGCACTAGATTGACGTTTCTAGGCTTTTTGGTGAAGTTGAAAGTAGAAATTAAAAGGGAACTCGACTCCAGGTATGTATGGCTAACTTCGACCTTTGTAAAATCACCGTGTTTGGTGTTTGGGTGTTTGGTATGTGATCTCTACGTGGGTTGTCTGTGAAATTCTTGTGATTGGTATGGTTGAGTGTTCGTGGTTATGTCTCTCGATATAATGATGTAAGTAATTGGCAATAAACCAAGTGTGTGATTGTGAATGTGCTATGTGGTAAGAATTGTGAAACAAATGATGGAAGGAAATGGTAATTAATGCAATTGGAACAGCTGTGGTAATAACATATATGGCTTGTCGGGGGAAATTCTCGTTGTAACATAAAAAGCATATGAGATGTGGAATGCGATGGAAATGGTATTGATGTCTATGGAAGTTCTTGTAAATTGTTGTTGTTGCTCTTTGAGAATTGTTGTTGTTATTCCTTGAGAATTGTTGTTGTTATTTGTGAATTGTATTTGTTGTGGTATTGTTTGTGAATTGTGATTGTTCGATGGGATCGGGTTGCGCGCCGCAACACGAAATAATAAGGTGTGGGTTGTGGTAATAAGGGTGGCCGAGGTAATAAGGGTGGAAAGTGATCGATATCACTATTGAAATGAAAATATGAGAAAAAGTTGTGAAATCATTGATGTGAAAAATGTTGAAGGGGAAATGGAGAGATTGTAAACTTGTTTGGCTTGATTGTTTCCTTTCATGTGTATTTGATTGTTGATTTCATTATTACTTGTTACTTGTGTATGGTTTGAGTTTACTTAGGGCAAAGTTTGTTCATACATACCAGTACAATTCAAATGTACTGACGTCCCTTTTGCCGGGGGCGCTACATTCGTGTTATGATTGTAGGTGGATCCATTGCAGGTACTCCAGTCCACCGACCCTAGCTCCCCTTTACTTCTCGTCAGCTGAATTGGTGAGCCCCTTTCCTCTCGGGGCCCTGCGTGGCTCATACCGCTTTTGTTTCGGAGTCATGTTTTAATATTTGTGTAGGTATAGCCGGAGCCTTGTTACCAGCAAGTATTGTACTATCCTTTTGTATCCTTAGAGGCTCCGTAGACAGTAAATGTGGGTTACGAACTTATGTAAAATGTATTTTGTATGTTGGGCGATGTAATTTGTAAACCACGATAGGTAATCATGTTTGTTATTGTATATTTCGTAAAAAGGTATTTTAATTATAATGGCTATTTCTTTTGATTAATGAGTAATGAAAATACGGGGTAACACGTGGGATAGGAAAGGCACCCAGGTCCGCTTGACTGGGGCTACCCGGTAGAGCGCCGGTCATGTCCCTCGGTTTTGGGGCGTGACAAGCATGCTGCATATAGGAAAGCCTTAGGGAATTTTCAAAACTGCACTCCCCTGAAGCTCTTTCTGTCATTTAACGTTTCTGAGTCTGATAAATTTTTAAAAAAGAGTCCCTAGGCAACTTCTAGGTTATAACTTCTGGGTATAAAGGTTTGGTCTATTTTCGCACAGTCACTTAGAGATCCTGCTTTAGGACTTTGATTAATAAAGACCTTAAGTGTGTTTGAGTCGTGCTGCTTGTATGTTTACTTGAGGAGGAAAATTGAGCCTTTATCTACTCCTTCTTGTTCTTGTTTGCTCAAAGTCCTAATTGTTTTGCTTGTCGCCTTAGAATTTTGACCTTTAAAAACCTTAGGGGTTTGTCTAGAACTACCTATAAGTGGAGGTCCTAATTCCCTCCGGTACCACTAAGAAGGGACGGGTAGCAGCACGCAATTGGAATCCGTGACCAACACTCGCTTTGCATGACCAATAAGGGGATGGGAAAGGTAGACATGGATATGATGACCGGTGCACTAATGCCACGCGTAGCCCCTTTCCAAGGAGTGATTACCGGGCATTGTACTGATGTGGTCCTATAGGCTAACCAACCTAGGACCTCCCTCTTCCCAAATCCTTTGCTTGAAACTTCATTTTTCCCTTTTTTTTCACAACCTGTTTAAATTCTTATTTGTTGCCCAACATGATCTACTTGAAATTACTTGCTTCAATTGTTTATTTATGAACTAATTTGTGAATATAAGTTCGGCCGGGACCCACAGTTGTGGACCAAGAGGGGTGTCTAACACCTTTCCCTCGAGGTTACTTCGAGCCCTTACCCTAATCTTTGGTAATGCAAACCAACCCAAGAGTTAATCGCTCTAGGTGCCCTAACGCACCATAATCCGTTAGGTGGCGACTCTTCAAATACCCAATTCCCAAAAGGAAATGAGTCATTACACCCCATGAATGTCGAAACCCGGACTTCTCCCCGCGAGGAGGGGGAAAAAAGGGTGCGCGACAGCATGGCGACTCTGCTGGGGATATTTTCAGGCTCTTATCATAATGAACTTATGAATTATTCCAAGCATGCTTCATTTCGTACCCTTCTCCCTTATTTAAATTTAACTGTCTATTATAAGAATTTATGATTCCTTTATTACCCCGAAAACTGACTTGTCTCCTTGTTTTCCTTTCTCTGTAACTTTCTTTTCAATTATTTAAATACAGTATTTATTTCTTCCTACGTGAAAATACTTTCCTACATGTTATTAACTGCTGCATCAATCATGCTCCACATCATAATCCACTCGTGCGTATCAAATCCTATAGCAACGCTTTAATGAGTGGTTGCGCTCTTCCTATTTACTACCCTTAAATTCGAAAAGGCTTATTTGCGGTAAAACCAGTCGATCAGCGGTGCAGTCAACCGTTCCTTGCCTTCCCCATCAAGTTGTCCGCTTGAGGGTACCAATCTAAAACCCCATAGAAACCTTACTCTGTTTAAATTGTCCATGCATCATGGTCAAACCTAGTCAGCTCAGTTATGTTGTCCACATAATGATCCTTTAAGATAAGCCTTATCCATAGTCCATCGGGTTTTCCATAATCCTAATGGACGCAACCATGTTCTGTGCATTAATTTAGAGAACTAAATGTCAATATGCTGATCATAAATGTATAAATAGTCGAGTCTGGTAGGGGTAAGGTCTAACCTTTTGTTTTGCAGGAAATGAAGCACGAGGTCCCCAGCTTCGGTATGGTTAGCACACCCTCACTCTTGCTAGACTGGTGGAGGAATCTTCCATCAAATGACCAAATCAATGAATGGAAAGAGAGGGCCGCCAAATCTAGTGAGAATCTTGAATATCTGGAATACAGCCTGGAAGGAAAAGTGAGGAAGAGAGTCGCCAACTGCCAAAACGCTGAGGAAAACGGAGAAGGGCATTTAGCAAAGGCATTCCTGCTAATGAGCCTACGCGAACTTGGGGATTTGATCGACAAGAGCATTCAGCCTGAAGGAAGTCCTTCCGAGACCAAATAGATTAGGTTTACTTGCTTTTCAAATGTAATAAGGCCAAGTGCCAGTAGTGACTCATTTTTTATTTTAATGTCGTTTTGGGATTCGTCTATTCTTACATTATGAAATAAAGCATTTATTGGCATTAAAAGTTCTCCAAATCTACTTGTCGCTAGGCCTACCTCGGGCACAACGAGGTTCCCAAGTTAGGAGACGAATTTACATTCTTGCAATATGTGTTTAAATACTGCAAACATTTCAGGATCCTCACTGACTTGTTACCTTTTGTTTTTGCTTATTTTTTATTATTATTATTCCCATTCCTATAGGTTGGTTCGATCATAATGGCCTCATCAGCATATCACACCAGATCTAGAGGCCCTCCACCTCCTCCTCCTCCAAGCAACACAAAGAGCAGAGGAAAAGCAAAGATGGATGATTTAAGTGGAATCCGAAAGGAAAACGTTGAGAACGTAGAGACTTCCGACGGCCGCAGTACTCCGGCCCCAAATGACCTTGTTTTGAGACTTGAACAAAGGATACTACAACTGCAAGGAGAACTTGAGCAGGACCGCAATTTGGCGAATTTGTCACTAACCCTCAATGTCCCTGATATCCACCAACAGAACGCAAAGAACCCAACACCTCCTCAAAACACACAAAACCAACAGCCGCAAAATCCGACCATACCAAATCAATACACCACTCCACCATAAAATATCAATCCATTGCCGATGCCAACTCCACCACAACAGAATCAACCAATTCAGTATCCGCCAATCACCACTTACCACACTCCCCAAAATTCACCACCACTCATTCCCGATCTACAAAACTCCACCAATGATCACCACTATACCCAAGTTACTGGCACCCATCAGAGCAACCCCATATACGCGAAAACTATACCACATTCTACCCAACCAATTTCCTGTACACCAGAAACCACCGAAAAGGACCTGCTCATTAAGAACAAGGCTGAAGAGCTTAAAAAGTTAACAAGCCAAGTTCAGGGTGTTGAAGGCGATAGAGGGATTGAGGGTTTGAACTATGAAGATCTGTGCATACAGCCCGATGTGGAATTTCCAGAAGGATACAAGCCACCCAAGTTCGAAATGTTCGATGGTACAGGTGATCCCAGGGTTCATCTCAGAACTTATTGTGACAAACTTGTCGGGGTCGGGAAAGATGAAAAGATCCAAATGAAGCTCTTTATGAGGAGCCTTACTGGGGATGCGCTGTCTTGGTATATCAGCCAAAATCCCAAGAGGTGGTCAAATTGGGTAAGCATGGCGTCAAATTTCATGGACCGGTTCAGGTTCAACACAGAGAATGCAACTGATGTCTTCTACATTCAGAATCTCAAGAAGAAACCCACTGAGACCTTCCGTGAATATGCTACCCGTTGGAGGCGGAAGCCGCCAAGGTCAGGCCCGCTTTGGACGAAGAACAGATGAATAAATTCTTTGTCAGGGCAAAGGACCAGCAATATTATGAGAGGCTGATGGTTATTGAAAATCACAAATTCTCTGACATCATCAAGCTCGGAGAAAGGATTGAAGAAGGGATCAAGAGCGGAATGGTAACCAATTTCAAGGCTTTGCAAGCCACAAATAAGGCACTAAGGTGGCATATCGAAGAAGAGAGATGTTGGGGAAGTTAGCCCAAGGCCCAAAATCCCCACTTGTCTACCAAACACCGCCACCCACATACCAAACACCTCCACCCACGTACCAAGCACTATCGCCCACATATCAACCTCCATCCCCCAGATATTCCCAACCAACCTCTGTCCATCACACATATAGCTCCCAACCATCCCACTTCCAATCACCACCAGCTCATCAAAATTATCCAAGACCACGACCGAACTTTGACCGCAAGCCACCCAGATAGTATACCGGCATTGCCGAGCCCATTGACCAATTATATGAAAGGTTAAAAGCCTCCGGTTATGTCACTCCTATTCCCGCTGTGGCGATAGAAAACCCATCCCAGTGGGTCAATCCAAACAAGACTTGTGCGTACCATTCCGGTATGAAAGGGCACACCACATCTGAGTGCCGGACATTGAAGGATAAGATTCAAACATTAATTGACAACAAGGTCATACAAGCAAAGGAGCCTCACCTAATGTCCGTAATAATCCTCTCCCTGATCACAGAAGTGATGGTATACATGTGATAAAAACAAATGAAGAATGGGACCCTGAAGGGTCGATCGGGCTTATTCGGGAAGGCGACGACCCTAAGGTCGCAGTCACACTCACTCCTATTGTGGTTCAGACTCAGGCACCTATCGAGGTTGAGGTAACTACATCCGATCCGTTTGAGGTAGAAGTGGCTCCGCCCGCAGTCACCCCCACTCCATTCGAAGTAGAAGTGGTCACACCCTTCACTGTGACAGTATCAACCACACCCAGATTCAGCTCAAAAGCAATACCCTGGGATTATGTCGCTGAGGCTCGGCAGAAAGGGAAGGCCAAGGTAGAGGAATCTGATGTGGCACAGGGAATGACTAGGACTGGAAGAGTCTATACGCTTGAACACCTAGGAGGTTCAAGTAAGGAAGCCACTGCTAGGCAACCTATTAATTAGACTGGGCCAGATGACCTGTGGAGAAAAGTACAGGGGAAAGAGTACTCTGTTGTTGATCACCTGAATAAAGTCCCTGCTCAGATATCTATCCTGTCACTATTGCAGAACTCTGAGTCACACAAGAATGACTTAATGAAAGTGTTGAGCGAGGCGTACGTACCCAGTAATATCACCGACAGAGAAATGGCCAACATGGTCGGACAAGTACTAGAAAGCCGTAAGATAATCTTCCACGAGGATGAGCTGCCACCCGAGGGACGAAATCACAATCGAGCATTGCATATCACGGTACAATTTAAAGACAAGTTCATTGCTAGGGTCCTGGTTGATTGAGGTTCTAGTCTGAATATTTGTCAACTGGAAACCCTTAAAAGGTTGGACAAAGGTTTCCATGAAATACGGACCGGAAGCATGAATGTGAAGGCTTTTGATGGGTCCCAGAGGGCCACGATCGGGGAGATCAACCTTTGTTTGCAGATGGGACCAACTTGGTTCGACGTTGAGTTGAAGTGCTTGACATACCAGCCTCATATAATCTTTTGTTGGGCCGCTTGTGGATCCACGCTGTCTGTGCCCTCTACACTCTATCAAGCCGTAAAATTCGAATGGAACCGTCAGGAGGTAATTATCCATGGAGACGGGAGTAACCCCATCTACACCAGTCAAACCATTCCGGCTATTGGAGATAGAAGAAGACTAGGAGGGGAAACCTACCATCACATCGAATGGGTCAATGCTGTCGAGAAAGACAAGTGGTGGAGTAACAAGATAGAAAGCATATTAGCATGGTCTAGATATGAACCCGGCAAAGGATTGGAAAAGAACCTCCAAGGCATCACCAAACCAATACAGCTGAAGAATCATAGTACTACCTTTGGGCTCGGGTACCAGTACACATGGCAAGAATACTGGAATTGGTCGCCTCTGTAGCGCGGACCATATTACCCTCTTGAGCAACCGGTACCCCGTTTAGAATAAGCTTTCCATCAGAAAGACACAATATGGGGAACTGCTGAAGAAGAAGCACTAGCTGGGCTGAAGGATCTGTTCTTGGAAGATGAGGATATGGACTGTAGTGCCATAATTGAGGAGGAGGAGGAAGAAGGCCTCACCATTCAGACTGTGGCAAAGGGAGCTGTTCTCAGAAACTGGACCGCCACACCATCCCGAGCTCGTCGAGTCCCTAGGTAGCTTGGCAGAATTTATAGTTGTCTAGGCATTTAAATTTTTCAGCAATTTTGTTTTAAGATTTCCTTGTTTTAAGTAAATGCTCGATCCACCGAGCCAAGCTTTTGTTTGAACGATTTTCTCAGTTTTAATCAAACGTATCTATTCTTCATCATTATTCATACTATTTTTATACTTTTCCCTTCTACAGTGTTATTATTACTTTTCCTGATGAACCCGTGACTGTGACATGTAATGAGGCAACCCAGTATGAGAATAGTGACTTAGAGGAAGGAGATGAGATACCCGAGGAAATTGTCAGGGAAGTTGAGAATTTTGAGAACAAGCCTAGTCCAACCTGGACGAAACAGAAGCAGTAAATTTGGGAGACGCCAAGACCGTCAAAGAAACCTGCGTCAGCATTCACTTATCGCCAACAGAGAACGAAGAATACATCCGTTTTCTAAAGGAATATGAGGACATTTTTGCATGGTCGTATGACGATATGACCGGTTTGAGCACATCTATAGTAGCTCACAAGTTGCCTAATAACCCCATGTGTCCGCCGGTCAAGCAGAAACTCAGAAAATTCAAACCAGACATGAGCCTGAAGATCAAGGAGGAAGTTACCAAGCAGATCAAAGCCAAGGTTCTAAGGGTGGTTGAGTACCCAACCTGGTTAGCTCACATTGTGCCAGTTCCGAAGAAAGACGGAAAGGTCCGAGTATGCGTTGATTATCGGGATTTAAATAGAGCAAGTCCCAATGACGACTTCCCGCTGCCAAACATATATATCCTGATCGATAATTGCGCCAAGCATGAGCTCCAATCCTTTGTAGATTGCTTCGCAAGTTATTACCAGATCTGGATGGATGAAGAAGATGCCGAGAAGACGGCTTTTATTATGCCTTGGGGTGTATACTGTTACAAGATGATGCCATTCGGTCTGAAGAATGCTGGGGCTACTTACATGAGGGCCATGACAACCATATTCCATGATATGATACACAGAGAAATAGAGGTATATGTGGACGATGTCATTATCAAATCCAAGAGGGCCACAGATCACATAGCAGACTTGAGGAAATTCTTCGACAGGCTCAGGAGGTACAATTTGAATTTGAACCCTGCAAAGTGTGCATTCGGGGTTCCTGCAGGAAAGTTATTGGGATTCATTGTCAGTCACCAAGGGATCGAGCTAGATCCGACTAAAGTCAAAGCTATTCAGGAGTTACCACCACCCAAAATCAAAATGGACGTGATGAGCTTCTTGGGACGACTCAACTACATCAGTCGATTCATAGCACAGACCACTGTAATATGTGAACCTATCTTCAAGATGTTGAGGAAGGATGTCGAGACGAGTTGGACCGAGGATTGTCAGAAGGCTTTTGACAAGATCAAGGAATACATGTCCACACCACCAGTTCTGGTCCCGCTTGAGGACGACCTTTGCTACTTTATCTATCCGTGTTAGATGGAGCCTTTGGATGTGTTTTAGGACAACATGATGAGACAGGAAGAAAGGAGCAAGCCATATATTACCTGAGTAAGAAATTCACACCTTATGAAGCACGGTATTCTCTGCTTGAACGCACTTGCTGTGCTTTGACCTGGACAGCCCAGAAGTTGAGGCATTATTTCTGTGCCTACACTAAGTACCTCATATCCAGAATGGATCCTTTGAAGTACATATTTCAGAATCCCATGCCTACGGGGAAGTTGGCTAAATGGCAGATACTACTAAGTGAGTTCGACATCGTCTATGTAACTCAAAAGGCAGTCAAGGGACAGACATTGGCAGATCACCTCGCTGAAAATCCGGTGGGAGGAGGATACGAACCCTTGAAAATGTATTTTCCTGATGAAGAAGTATCATTCGTAGGAGAAGACATTACCGAAGCATATGACGGTTGGAGGATGTTCTTTGATGGAGCCGCAAATTTCAAAGGAGTAGGCATTGGAGCAGTTTTGGTATCAGAAACAGGTCAACATTATCCTGTATCTGCTCAACTCAGATTTCCCTGCACCAACAACATGGCGGAATATGAAGCCTGCATACTAGGGCTCAACATGGCAGTCGACATGAACATTCAGGAGTTGTTAGTGATCGGCGATTCAGATTTATTTGTGCACCAGGTACAATGAGAATGGGCTACCAAGAATTCCAAGATTTTGCCATATCTGCACCATGT